CATGTTGGAAGACCCAGCCACGACCCCTCTTCAATGCTCTGACTGAGGGAAGGAGGTTGTTGCCTAAAATCTCACAATAAATGGCCCCATTCATCCTCTCCTTAATACAGTGCAGTCGTCCTGTCCCCTTCGCAGAAAAGTACCCCCACAGCATGATGTTACCACCCCCATGCTTCACAGTAGGGATGGTGTCCTTGGGATGCAACTCATCCTTCTTTTTCCTCCAAACACAACGAGTGAAGTTTAGACCAAAAAGTTCTACTTTGGTCTCATCTGACCACATGACTTTCTCCCATGCCTCCTCTGGACCATCCAGATGGTCATTGGCAAACTTCAGACGGGCCTGGACATGTGATGACTTGAGTAGGAGAACCTTCCATGCAATGCATGATTTGAAACCATGACGGCGTAGTGTTCTACCGACAGTGACCTTTGAAGCTGTGGTCCCAGCTCTCTTCATGTCATTGACCAGCTCCTCCCTTGTAGTTCTGGGCTGATTCCTCACCTTTCTTATCAGTGATACCCCATGAGGTGAGATCTTGCATGGAGCCCCAGTACGAGGGAGACTCAGTCGTCTTTAGCCTCTTCCATTTTGTAACAATTGCTCCAACAGTTGATCTATTTTCACCAAGTTGCTTCGCAATTGCCCCGTAGCCCTTTCCAGCCTTGTGAAGGTCCACAATTTTGTCTATGGTGTCTTTTGACAGCTCTTTGATCTTGCCCATGGTAGTAGTTGGTGTCTGACTGACTGTGGGGTGGACAGGTGTCTATAACCATTTCAATACAGGGCACTTATTACCCCCTTCCTGCCCAGGTCATTTTTCAGGTTTCAGCGCTCTCACACTTTGAATGACAATTGCGCGGTCATACAACATTGTACCTAAACTAAAATTTTATAATTTTCTTCACACAACTAGAGCTTTCTTTTGGTGGTATTTAATCAAACAAAAAAAAAGACCAAAAATTTTGAAAAAAAAACCCACATTTTTCTTTGTTTCTGTTATAAAAATTTACAAATAAATAATTGTTCTTCATAAATTTAGGCCAAGATGTATTCTGCTACATGTCTTTGGTGAAAATAACCCAAATTTTATAGGATGTATTTTTTAGTTTGTAAGAAAGTTAAGGGGTTCACAAACTATGGTATAGATCTGAAAATTGATCAATCCTGAAGTGCTGATGGCTAGTCTAATTTCTTGAGGTCCAAGAATGTCAGAACAGTACAGATATCCCCCAAATGACCCCTTTTTGCAAAGTAGACAGTCCGACGTATTTCATAAGAGGCATGGCAAGTTTTCTGAAGTTGTATTTTTTTTGTCATAGCTTTTCTGAAAATTAAAAAATGTAAAAAAATTATTTTCACTATTTTTTTTTTTTTTACATACTGTCACCAGTGCAGTACAGCGTCATCATATGACTGGCATGGCGGTGATCAGGGACGCTGACAGTATGAAAAAAAAAAATATATATTTTTTTATTACATTTTTTTTTTTTTTAAGATTTTTTTTTTTCATATTTCACTATGACCAAAGTAGTACAATGTTACCATAGTAACATTGTACTACTTTGGGGAAGTGATCAGTATTTTTTTTTACACAATTTGCTTATAGCAAAGAATTACTTTGCTGTAATCAAGCATTTACCTGAATGATATCGACTGATCCAGGGTTTTTTTTTTTTTTTTGTGCTTAGCTGTAATTTGGCCATGGCTAATCACATCACACAGCTGGGCTGTGATTGGCCCAACTTGTGCATGTGATCGCTGTGACCATTCACAGCTAGACACACTAGTATACAATGGATGGCATGAATGAAGCCATCCATTGTATACAATTATCATGTGACCTGCTGTAATTGGTCACAGCAGGTCACATGGTACCGGCAACGGGGCCGGTACTCAGATCTGTCATCGGCCGTGTCCGAGGTACACGGCCGGTGACAGATTGCGCCACTGCGCGGCTCTGCAGGCGCGCAAACTGCGCATGCCCGGGAGGACGCCATATGGCGTCCACCCGGAACGCTGAGGGATTTTGCCGGCCGCCAAACGGCCATTGGCCGGGCGGCAAAAGGTTAAAGAGCGCAGACAGGTGCTACTAAGTTAGATTAATGAAACCACCTCCCGCCTGCCATATAGTCCAATGACGGACGCAAGGTGGTTCTCTCGTTCTGATAGGCTGTCTTTTGACGGCCTTCCATTCTCACTGCGCATGCGCGACTCAGGGAGCGTGCAGCGCGGCGATCGGCAGTGCTCTGTGTCCCTCGGACACAGCGGATCATCGATCCACGGAAAGAGCCGAAGATGTTGGCTCGGTCATGTGTCAGCTGTGTCCAATCACAGCTGATCACATGTAAACAGGGAAATGCCGGTTATCGGCATTTCTCTCCTCTCGAGCTGTCACGCTGACGGCTCGAGAGGAGAGGAGAGCCGGTAATCGGCATTCCGCAGGGGGGACATGTACAATGATCAACAGGGCACTGATCTTCCGTATGCCCTGATGATCAGTGTGGCCCCAGAAGTGCCACCTGTCAGTGTCCATGAGTGCTGAACAGTGCCACGTGCCAGTGCCAAATCAATGCCACATATCAGTGCCCATCTGAGCTGCCCTTCAGTGTCACCTATCGGTGCCAGTCAGTGCTGCCTATCAGTGCCATATATCAGTGCTGCCTTTCAGTGCCCATCAGTGATGCCTGTCAATGCCCATCAGTGCCACCTATCAGTGTCAGTGCCACCTATCAGTGTCCATCAGTGCATCTTATCAGTGCCCATCACTACAGCCTCATTAGCGCACATCAGTGAAGGAGAAAAATCACTTATTTACAAAATTTTATAACAAAAACTAAGAAAAAACATTTTTTTTTTCAAAATTTTCAGTGGTTTTTGGTTTGTTTAAGAAAAAATAAAAAACCCAGAGGTGATTAAATACCACCAAAATAAAGCTTTATCTGTCACAAAAAAATGATAAAAATTTCATATGGGTACAGTGTTGCATGACCATGCAATTGTCATTCAAAGTGTGACAGCGCTGAGAGCTGGAAATTGGCCTGGGCAGGAAGGGGGTATAAGTGCCTTGTAGGTAAGCGGTTAAAGGCACAGTAACTGGTCTTTGAGAGCCAGAATTCTTGTTGTTTCTTAGGTGTTCAAATACTTATGTTCAGCAGTGCAAGACAAATAAATTCTTTAAAAATCATACAATGTGATTTCCTGAATTTTTTTTTTAATTCTGTCTCTCAGAGTGGGAATGCACCTACAATGTGAATTTCAGACCCCTCCATGATTTCTAAGTGGGAGAACTTGCAAAGTCGCAGGGTGTTCAAATACTTCTGTTCTCCACTGTATTTGTTTTCTTTTTCAAAGGTTTTGCTGTTTTTAGGCAGACTTCAGATCTTCTTGTCCATTATTCTTTCATATTCGGCTTTTAGAGTAAAATGTTCTGTTCCATGGTGTTTGCCATTATTTTCTTAATTTTTTTTCCACTAAGCAACAAACATAGATTTTGTAGAAATGAGACTATAAATTAACTTTACTGACTGACATTTTAAAGTGGCATGAGCCTGCTGATCCTGTGTGTGATACCATCTGTCCAAATAGTGAACATATTGCTGTCACATCTGCTTTCTGCAGAGACTGATTACTGCTGTTACAAAACACTGTTCTCCTCATGGTGCAACACTGCGACTTAGCATTAAATTCCTGTTTTGAAGCAAATATCAAACTACGTTTACAAATTGTTCCGTGTAAAGTTATTTATGGGTCACAAAATCATGTTTGCTCTTATAAATGTTAAATGTCAGATAATGCAGCCTAAGCAAATTTATGTTCTTTATTGGCTTTAGACAATAAAATAAACATTCCTCAGTAAACTATTTAGTAAACCCTTACCCCAGCATTGGCAGTTTACAGTTTTTAACGTGGTGGGCTCCTGCTCTTTTAATGCTGCGTCCCTGAAGTGCAGTAGCCAGTCTGTTAGCCTGGAGAATGGAGTAGGAGGAGCAGGGGAGAACCTTACTTTATCCTAGGCTATGAGGTTGTGTGTTTCTATTGATGCACACAGTGCTGGTAGACCCAACACTAGTCCCTGCATGCAAGAGTGTCTCCATAAGATGCTGCAAAAGAAAGGAGCCACCCTGAAACAGGAAACCTGGGACAGCAGTCATGACGCCAGCTTAAACAGGAACATAGGCAAGGACTTAAAGATAAAAAAGTTGCATACTTAGTAAGGGCTTGTTCACACTTGACTCAAAATGCACATATAGTGTTAATGTGCGGTAATAGGTGCGTTTGATTCACATTTAACGCTCGTTAAAAACTCTCCCCCAAATGCCCTGTGTGCATTTTTCGAGCATTTGATGCATGTTAAAAACATGTTAAAACCACGCCTTAAATGTTTGTAATAAATTGTAATGATATTAACGCACCGCAGCTGCATGCCAGAATGTTCACTGCACGTCACCATAGACTTGGATGGAAGGAGTTGAAAGGTTTCAACTTCTTCAAATTCAACATGAAGCTTCAGTTTATAACGCCTCATATTTTTATACTGTGAACAGTACTGTATGCTGTCCATATCATCTGCATAGGAGTTTGAGGAGCATTAAAAACGCCTCTCAAACATCTGCTTTCAATGTCAGTGTGAACAAGGCCTAAGTGATTGAATCAGCTGCTGAAAGTGAAGAAAGAAACATTAAAATGATTAACTTATAAAATGGAATAGTATGGCTGTATACGATCTCAGTATAGATATATTTATCAGGTTGGAGAAGAGGTTTTCCAGTTTGTGATCCACAGAATTAATGCACTATAAGCAGGGAGATCCTTGCAGTACAAATACCATGGTACAGCTTTCTTTGCAGCAAGGAGAAAAATGAGCAGCACAGTAGGGACATCTCCAACTCTCACTCCAAATCTTCTGAGACAAGCAGCCAGGGGCAGCAGTATCTTAGGTAATCCCACTAGTCTGCGATAGTTGTGACATTGTGTTTTTTTGTTTTGTCTGCCTAAGGTTCCTGTTACAGCTTGTGGGAATTCTCCTTGAGGACATAGTACACAAGGAACTAAAGGTGGACCTGACTGAACAGCAGCATACGTTTTACTGCCAGCAGCTAGGCACCCTGCTCATGTGCCTGGTCCATATCTTCAAATCAGGTAACATAGATCTTCATGTAACTATAATTCCACCTATCATTCTGAAAACAAGAAGAAAAGTGCACAACAAAAAGAAGGCCTAGGGAACCTGCCTAAGGTACAAAGTCTGGTGAGGTGCCACCAGCTATAACTGGTAGGATGTTGCCTAAATACAGTGCATAAAAACAAAAGAAAAGGCTTCCCTCAAACCAATGTTTATTGCAAATATATTATTAGAAATTAAAATCACAATTCATCATAAATACAAGTGCCATACCTGACCATACTGCCCCCCAGAGTCCCCCCATAAAAAGGGCACCCCCAAAGGAAGAGATGGTGTACAAGGGAGGTGACCTATCCACCCAAATCTAAGGCCACATCACCTGCACCACCCCTCCACACAGTGCCCCCCCACACACACATCACCCCCCAAGGAGCACCCGTACACGACCCAGCCACCCCCCCAGAGGAAACTGAGGTAAAACACTTGCGCATTAACTCCTCCCTAACCCCCGAAATACCCCCGCCTGTTCTAATGGCCAGCCCTAAAGCACACCTCACAGAACACCCCAAGTGTCATAGGAGCCAGTCCCAAATGCCTCTGTGTCAATAATGAACAGAGAGTGTCATTGGGTACGAGCAGCCAGTGAGGGGCCAACCTGGATTGACACCAGGTGACTACCTAATACTGGATGGTCAGCTAGACCCTGTGACTAAGGGACTTGATTGCCTTATGACCTGTGGAGATGGGCTAATGCCTTAGGAATACAAAAAAAGCAATCTAGGTCAACAATATATGTGTACAGAAGTCTCTCTGCATATAAATGTAGCCAGTCCAAAAATCCTTGCAGATAATGTTTCCAGCAGCATAGGTGTGAGTCCAGTATAACACCAGGTCTGTATATACGGCATAAATGGAGGAACACAAACAGCCTGCAGATGGTAAGGTTGGATAGATACAATGCAGCCAACGGGACTAAGCACAACCATGTAATTCGAATACCTGCCACAGCAAACGCAGTGTGTATTTCCAGTCCAGCCTGTGCGCGCCTGCACAGTTGATATGACCTAGAGATCAACACTGGGTTGCTAGTACTCACTGTGTGTGATGGGACCAGCTAGGTCCTGACAGTCGACCGCGGCTCGTGTTTCCAATGATGCAGACCATGTCAAATGAATACTCCACTGATCATCCAACTGAAGTTGCTGCTTGCTGTTTCCCATAAAGGAGAGCACTATGGCCGTGTATGGTTCATAGAGTCCAGCTCAATCCAGTAGTAGAGCCATGTTGTGTATGGGCAGCAGGCAGGGGAAGGAAGGAGGGGAAGTGAAACCACGCTGACGCGTTTTGACCAGCCTACTTCCGGAACTATTGATTAGACAGGTTATCCATTAAAACTTATATATCATCAGAGGTTTCCACCTCCAAATCACTTAAAGGGACCTCTCCTTTTATAATACCTGTCATTTTCACATATGGAAAAAGTGGGAGAAAGGGGAACACTCAAAGTGAATCAAATTGTTCTACCAAAACTGGGCCCCCTGAACTGTCTGTATAAATCCAATCATGTAATATATAGCCCTATCCATGGGCACACTACTTCCATGTAACCACCCTATGATAACTAACCATACCTCACGATTGCATCTCCGCTTATTCAAAGGGAAGGGAGCGGGGAACAGAGATTGTGTATAGATGTATTCTGGGTGGTACCTTGCCATAACAACTAGAAATATTCATTATGATGTGAACATAGAACCAGATGAACTAAGGAGATTAGTACATTGGAACAATCCAGCATATCGCTATAAGGTCCAAGGTACAAAAAAAGGATCTAAGGAAACCCGATCGGCTTATAGAAAGCACTGTAAAGACAATTCAATGTTAAACCCTTTTAGGGTCATTGAGTCTAACAAGAAGATCCACATGGCCGCCTTTTATGTATATCTACTGGTGACTTATGACCAGTAGATAAACTGGTCAGGTGTTCACCCATCCGTTTCCGAAATTCCCTTCTCGTCTTGTATTTTATCACATGGGCATATTATCTGATAAACAACTAAACTGGTGGAACAGTTTACAAAAGAGTATATCTATTTCTGTGTTTTATTAGAATTATCAAAGATTTTAGTTTTAACCACATTTACAAATACTACAGTATCCACTTGGGTACATTCCCATGACAGGCCTACTGAAGGGAAGGTTTACATTTTGTTTTTTGGTGGGAGTGTATTCACTATGGAGCAAGATCTCGCCAATAGTTGGAGCTCCCTTGGCAATCAAATTGGGTCAAGGATCCAAAATTTCCTTGAACCTATTGTCCAATAGGAGTACATGCCAATGCCTATCTAGTACTGATCGTAATCGATCCCAATGGGTACAATTGGTAGTAACAATACCCACCCTCTCTTTAGTCTTACAGTTGGTTTTTTGTTCGGAGTTTCTTTTCTGTGCAGAATGGCTTTTCTACTTCGGTTCTAGACCTCTTGCTTTCCATCCCGGATAACTGAATTCGGATACTCCCTTGCCTTAAATCTTCTACTTAGATCTACAGCCTCTTCCTGAAATTCTCTAGGGTTTAAGCAATTCTTCTGAATCCTCAAAAACTGTCCTGTAGGGATACCTCTAATCAAGTGCCATGGAAGGTGGCTGGTGGCATGGAGGAGGGTATTACCAGCCGTTGGCTTCCCAAAGGTTTTGGTAATTAGCTCTGAGTTGGACCTTCGGATCAGTATCTCTATCTCTTATCAGTTCATCCCCTACAGTTATTACCTTTTGTACCACCAGCCCCTCCCTCTTAGATTGTAAGCTCCAAGGAGCAGGGCCCTCCTAACCCTCTTGGATTGAACTGTGTCATTGCTGTATTGTCTCCCTTTATATTGTAAAGCGCTGAGTAAACTGTTGTCGCTGTATAATAATAATAAATCCAAGAACTCAATCTGATATGGGTCCACTTTATATGTAAGAAGGATGTTTTTATCATTCTGGTTAAATTCTGCAATACATTTTTCCAACTTTTTTTTTTTTTTTTTTACCCCTTCTCACCACCAGAACATCATCAATATACCCACAGCAGAATGTGTCTCTCAAATGCTGTGTGGGTATAGAAATCTTTCTTCTCCCACCATCCCAGATGGAGACATGCGTAAGGCTTGGTTCACATCTGTGCGGGTGGAGCTGCTGCGGGACCTGCACAAATACCTGAAGCCGCACTACCCACACAGAGGAATGCGTGACCCGCAAGGGGGTGCCATTAATTATAATGGCACACCGCCTACACTGGAAATCACAACCATACTGGGAACCTCGGTTCTCGTGCAGGCTGTGATTTCCCAAGTAGTGCAGGGTCTTCTTTCCTGCGTGTCCCGGGGCACGGGGGTCAGTTCAAAATGAATGGGCTCTTATGCCCACGCAAATCGCGGGTCGCACATATGTAAACCAGGGGTAAGACTGGGCACATGCAGCTCCCATTGCAACTCGAAAATATTTTTGTCAAAAGATGAAAAAGTTGTTAATAAGTACTAATTCCAATAAGTCAATAAGGAATTCATTATGAGGGCCTGCTAGTGGATGGCGAATTTCAAGCCATTGGGTAACCACGTGTATCCCGATTGCATGGGGGATGGAGGAGTATAGGGATTCGATATCTATACCTGCCAGTATGCAATCCTCCTGAATAGAGAAATCAGCCAGACTGCACAAGATGTCTGTTGAGTCAAGAACAAAGGAGGGGAGTTTAGTTAACGATGTTTTATTCGTTGATCAACGTACTTGCCTATCCGTTCTAAAGGGCTCCCTACTCTGGAGACAGTAGGTCATCCCGGTGGTATATTGAGGTTTTTATGTACCTTAGGGGGTGACATAAAATGTAGGAACATTATATTCATCTACATAAAGATATTGATATTCTTTTTTAGTAAGCAATCCTACCTCATATGCCTTATGAAATGCTGTAGTTAATTTAATTAACTAGCCCCGGGAATGGATTTGTAACTACATCTTTCATAGCAGGCTGAGTCCAAAAGCCATCTGTAGACCTCATCTACATAGTCTTTTTTGAGTCTTTATCTTGGGAAGTACAAGTTGGCATCTTGGATTGGCTCTGATCCTTCCCTTCTTCTGTCCTGCCCTTTTCTATGTCTTTTCTGTTTCCTTCTCCTATTAGAGCACTTGTTGAGTAGATGATTTAGATTAGGCAGAAACTAGTCCCTCTATATATTTTTAGAACTCCAGTGCTACAATGCAGCCTTTAGCTTTATTCGTATTTAGGAAAAATACAATTAGCCAGTTAAATATGAAATATTACATAAAAAGTGCATCTGGCATTATTTGAAATAATTAGTTCACGGCTTTTACCCTGTTTTTCATTTGTCTTCTGTCTGGCCCAGTGATGTGTGGGGTTCTCTTCTTGTTTTCACCAGTGATGGAGAATTCTTCCTGCTGCACAGAATGACACCCATGTAGTTAGAGCTTTTGAGTGCCATACTGTGAACCCAGGTCAGCATGGTGATGTAGGGTTGCCGCCTCATACCTTTAAAACCAAATACATGTTAATAACACAGGTTCTGTGGCTGATTAAGGTGTTAATTAGACTCACCTAGAGCCTTATCTGCATTAGCCTCAGAACCTGTGTAAATAATGTGTTTGGTTTTAAAGGAATGAGGTGGCAACCCTATGGTGATGGTCCCCTAGAATGTGTGTCTTTATCAGTTTGGGCTCTTAGAAAGTAGGTTGAATGGTATTGAACTGCATTCATCCTGAAAGAAAACCAGCGATGGACTACGGCAAGGATTGTCTGCATGGGACAGTGCTACAGGGACAGATTGTTTAAATTGTTTAACCCATACAGGACTGATAGGGAGCCTTCACATGCAGGAGGGAGGAGCCTGACCATGGCGTTGAGGAAGAGCTCGATGTGAGAGCTCTCGGCTAACCAGCTAAACCTGTCCCATCGAAGTGCCCTGCCAAAAAGAAAAATGCCCATAAACTCAAAGTGAGACCTACCTGTGAGAGAGGGGTC